CGTGTGTACGCGGGATGTATTCTCAGAAAAGGCATACCTGATTTTTTGATGGGACATCCAAAGCGCCCTTCTTCCGTCCATTCCGAGGCTATGCCTGCACACGCTGCTATGCGCCGCAGAGGGCTTTGTATCGACCTGGGCTATTAAATGCAGCTCTTGGTCAGCGGTGAACAGGGGTACATCCTATAGGACACCATGCACCTCATTGGGATACGAGGAATACAACTCGGTGATCAACTCCAATCTAATGGCCGCCAGGTTCCTTGAAGGTCTCTCATGAGGGTACACTCTTTATTTTGCACATGCCCTGAAACTCATTCAGCGTGATCAAGGTTATATTGAATGAAATTGGGAATCCAAGTTGTTCAATTAAGTTGTATATATATATATAGAACCTTTTTGTCGTCCGGATAATCTATATTTTGGACTGGGTATACCTCTTAGGCTATGTTTGCTCCTGATTGTGGTGACAGCCTTGCATGGGGTTTTCATAGTGGAGCAGCCAGAGCAGTCAGTGCTGGAGTTTTTCCCACCATTCCAAGATTTGCTGGCTCAGCTGCATAAAACATGGGGAGGTACAGCAGAAACTTGCTCTGCATCATTTATGTTTTTCACGGTCGGTAGCTTAAGTATGATGCACGGGAGTTTGATGAGATATTCTTGGAGATTATCCTATATACATTCACAACCAGAGTTGGTGCAATATGTCTGCCGCAATCAGGTATTCAGAGCCAAATGGTACATGGCACACTATGGAGGCTTGACCCCAAAGCCCCACTACGCATGGAGCAACAGCCCATACATCGTCAAGCTTAATGCGGGACGGCTTGTTGGGTGGCGTGGTGGGCACACGCATGGAGCATCTTCCGTGAAAACATGCGCGATTTACAAGAACAAGAAGGGTGAGACATGTTATAAAGGAACACGTCAGCTTCGCAAATCTGAGTAGCTTATCTGACCATTTTTTGTCGTGGATGACCGCCAATAAAGTTGAACTGAGTTCGAACTATATCATTGACTGACTATATATAGGAAACTTAGGATGTCCATGATTTGTTTTTCAATTCCCAGTGATCCTGCCACATCCGAGGGAGTACCCGGTGAAGTTTGGCTGGAAGATTGTGGACCTCTACCCTGATCTGACATGCTCAGCGCGTGGCCCAGCATCTTTTCCGGATGGGGTTCCTCCAGCCTTAGACTCTTACCAGGGAATGCCAGATGAAATCGGCGCTCTGGCCTTTTCAAGCCTGATTGATGTGTTCAATTACCTTCGTCAGGGAAAGCACCTTTCAATTCCAGATGACTGGAAGTCCTTTGTTCCGAAACCCTTACTAACTATGACCGTGAGCAAATACAATATCATCTATCCATGATGAGGTTATCAGGGTTTGAACTGGAAACACATTATCGATTCGACCAGTTTCGATCTTTTTACTGATTTTTGTAATTTTTCAAAAAAAAATAGTTAGGTTCTACTAAAAAACCCGGTTTTGTGGTATGGAAACCCGTCTTTATCCCGTAGAAAACCCGTCTATCGTGTTACATTTTCAGAACCTAACTTTTGGGAACCCGTCTTTTACCCGTGGGGAACCCATCTTTTACCCGTCGTAACCCGTAGGAAAAAGATGGGTTCTGGGCTTCACGGTCAAAGTGGGGATTTAGCCTTTGATCGGTGCCGAATCGCAAGAAATCGAAAAATGATACTGCAATCTGTGCTTTTGATTGCATTATATATGTGGTGATGTGAGCTAAGTCGAAGAACATGAATTGATTGATGTACACGCTGCAGCACTTCACTTGTACTTAAAGCAAAAGGGGTTTCCTGTTACCTTTGCTTGCCCCATGTCTGCCCAGCCTGGCCTGGATAGCTCGAGAGTGTGGAGTTGCAACACTCTCAAAGATGGCATTGACCACCTGATGGAGAAGGTGGCAGAACTGGATGATGAAGAAGACAATCTTAAAAGACTGATCGAGGACAGTCTATATATATATCACTTAATTGAACAAAAGATCCTTAATTGTTTCGAAAACCTTTGATTGCACAGTTTACTGATTGATATAAGAAGACATGCGAAACGTGTGAGGAGATGGAAGCCAGCAGTCTTGCAGAGCGTGCTCCACAAATTGATCCGCCTTCTGCACATGAACCTGCAGTACAGACCTCAATGCATACCACATATGTTGCCTGGCCCATGCGTGATCCGGCGCCCAGGCTCCACCCACTGCAGCTCCGAGCATTGCTGAAGCTGAGACTCAGCAGGCCTGGACACGGCCCATGTGTGAAGTGGTGCACGTCTCATATACGCAGTGTTTGTTGACATAAGTTGTATCATCAAAATACATATTTTTGTATGTATATTTGCATGTTTATGCACGCATGCACAAATATCGCTTAAGCCGATGAATTCATAATTGCACCCAACAAGATTGAACAATCACATTAGCATTGCCAGGCTTCGGAAAGTCAAGTTCAACAAGCGCTTGCTGGTGTTCCAGCGGACGCAGGCTCAGGGCAAGGACTTCAGACGAGTTCTAGCCCTACTGAACTTGCTACAGCTCAAGAGGAACCCGGTAAGACTCATGATTCGTTGGGAGCTGGTTCAACGCCGGCTGAACTTGCTACAGCTCAAAAGGAACCCGGTGAGGATCCTGCTTCGTTGGGAGCTGGTTCAACGCCGACTGAACTTGCTACAGCTCAAAAGGAACCGGGTGAGGATCCTGCTTCGTTGGGAGCTGGTTCAACGCCGACTGAACTTGCTACAGCTCAAAAGGAACCCGGTGAGAAACCTGATTCGTTGGGAGCTGGTTCAATGCCTGGTACCCCGAAGGAGATTGCCGCGTGACATGCATCGGTTTCAGTATATATCATTCCTGACTCGATCGGTATACGTGCGCACATGTGACAGTTTAATTGTATATACTTCCAATCCTTATGCTCGAGTATGTTGTCCCATGTTCTCCCCCGTGCGTAGGACAATGGAACTCATCGGCCAGTTGCTACCCCAGTGCGTGGGGATCAATCTCCAGTTCGCGCTGGTGCCGTCACCCAGCCCGGGAAGTCGGCGCCTCCAGCTCGTCGCAAAACGCGCCAGGAGAATTCAGTTGCCTCAAACGGAATCATATATAGAGAGAGATCGAGAGTATGAGGATAATTTTGCATATATAGGTTAAACATAACTTCATGAAATATGGAATGTATGCCCAAAAAACAATTCTGAAAGCTATTGCATGTATATATATAGATATCGATCGACTTGAAATCAGCCAAGAGATTGTTGATGTTTAAAGAACATATGGTCCTCTCCTATCAGGAGCTTTTGCGAGAGGCTGCAAAAGCGCAGCTCAGGAGACTGTGCACAGTAAAAAAGAAGAGGGTGAACTTGAATGTCCCGTCTTGGGTTGTTCAAGAGTTCAAGTCCCGGCCTCAAAATGAGACCGCGGCTTTGCTGATGAGCTGCAACTTCGACAAGGCCGGTGTGGCCGATGTTCACACCCATGTTTTGTTCGTCTTTGCCTATATATAGCTGAATATAAATGCACACATATATGCGAATTACCATGGCACTCATGCGAGGCCAAGTTCATCTCTTCCCTGGAGATTGTGGTGAAGAAAAGATCATCTCTAAAGGTGACCATTGAGGAAGAGTGGCTGACCGAAAAGGAGATGAAAGATGACTATGGTTGGAGCCCGTCCTTTCCTGAGTATACATATATAATTATATAGAACGTGTTTCCGTCTTTGTAGCTATTTTTAATGTTTCTATATATATATATATATATCGTTGTTGGCGGTTTCATTTATATATGTCTTCCTCTTACGCGCAGCTTCCGCTGTTCCAAGGGCCCGCATCGCCGGTGCAAAGAAGGCATGTCTGGCAAAAGCTGCAACACATGTGAGGACTGCAAACTGTGCATTTATATATATATATAGATATACATTCAAACCTCAAAGTACATATGGCTTATATGATTATATATCGATTGATTTGTCACAACGGTCGTCCGTTGACTGATGGATAGCTTTGCAGGAAGAACGTCTACGATGGGATGGAGGAGTACTACGTTGTCATCAAGGAGAAAGGTTCACGAGAACAGGAACAGGTTGAAGAGGAGACCCGAAAGAAATCAAAGGCCTTGGAGGCCAGCTATCTACTTACCACTTCAGAGCACAAATTAATATATAGTTTACTCAGTCTTAATTCAACCTTCAGTAACAGAAGCGACCAATTGATATGGGCATGATATGTTCATGGTATGTAAACGGCAAATTGCTCAAAACGAAAACATACCCCGATCTTAAGGCCTTCCATGGTCACGCTGTCCACTGGAGGCTTCTGAGGAGCCGAACCTTTCCGCTGGGGCCTTTGATGGCCTGACAAAGCTTCAAGAGCGCCAATCTGCAGAAGTTGCCGTACCGGCAGTCCCGGAAGCACTTTCCCAAGTTGAGGAGGCACCCAAAATATAGAATCATGTCTTAATGTGTAGTTTTTCCAACCTTGATTTTGTGGCCACATCCTTTTGTGTCAGTAAGCGACTGCTAAAACCTGACCAGACCAAGAAGAAACTGCGCAAGTTCTTGGACGCTATGATCCAGAAGTCAGGCAAGATCAGATGCCTAGTCAGGGAAATCAACGATTCCTACTCGAAGAGTGATCTGCTGCAGAAGTGGCACCCTCAATCGCGATTTCATCGGTATATATAGACTGCGCAAAGCACAATGGTTGCCACATGTGAGAAATTAATGCATTTATGCTCAAATGCATGTATAACGATTTGTATATAAAGTTTTTTTTTGGTGCTTGCACACATCCCGTTCAGTCCTGGGTTCAGCCCTCAACCGCTTAAGGTCCAGACGTCAGTTGGAGGAGGAACTCCAGAAATTGGATTCCCAGTATGATGCCTGCAACACTGTGATGCTCAGAGGGGAGGTCAACGGATTTCAGCCGGAGTGGGGTACTCAGACAATCTCGGACACACAGAACTTGTGTTGAAGTCAATTTAAGTTGAAGTCAAGTTCAATTTCACTTTTGAATTCATGTGCCCTATATATACTTTGGCAATTAAGATGAGACCCAATGCCAGTGGACTTGAAAAACAAAGGTTTGTCACTCAAGCCACTGCCGCCATGAACACAGCTACGTATGCGTCAGGGCCTCATGCTGAGAAGTCGCAATCTATAAATTTATGAACTATATATTCACCGTTTCCGGTTATACGTGTATACCAGTCATTGAGTGAATATATCGATTCAAAACTATACAGGGTTCTCAGTCCCATGCAGGTGTTCAGCGGCCTGTTCAGCTGAAGCGAAGACTCGGTACTTACCTCAGTGCATCAGGCAGCCAGCAAGCATGTTTCTCATTTCAATTGACCCGACCATGAGGAATGCAAAGAAGTACGAGAAGAAGGATGCGGATCTTTCCCCGGGAGAGAATCGCAAGCCCACTGTGAAGCAGGAGAAGAATGAGAAGAACAAGAAGGAGAAGAAGGAGAAGGAGAAGAAGGAGAAGGGCAGGTCTAAGCACGGAAAGGGTAAGAGTGAGAAACCTGAAGAGGGCGAGCCTCAGGCCCCGAAAAGGGCTAGAAAGTCTAAGTGAATACTTTTATCTTATGTAGGGACAGATTGCCTAAGAGCAATCGCATTTTGCGTTGGAACTCCCAACGGCATCTCATGAGGGAACCTGCAGGCCACCTGTCATGAAATCGGGACAGGGTAATGCTTGTGGGACTGGTCCAATTTGAGGACCGAATCCACCATTGTGTCATCTTGCCTGTAAAGGCTGTGAGTTCTAAATATATATAAATATAATGATATGCCATGTCTAGATATATATATATATAGTGTCAGCATGTTTCTTCATTTACAATTTATATAAGCTATATATACCTGAGCCTTTCAACATGGGCAGACTTGATGCGGTCTTCAAAGGCTTGCGCACGGGATTGGAGACATGTGCGGATGAAAAAATCAGAACTTTCTTTTTGTCCCTTCCTTTCGCCGCTGGACTCTGCATATATATAGATCGACTGAGGAAACCATTATTCTGACGCAACCAACCATTTTTCCTCAGCCCCCACCCTTCCGAACCCATATCTCAACACCACCATCCCTGCATGCCAGGTGCTGGCAATGCTCTGCAGACTTTGAGCAAAGATGTCGGTGAAGGAGCTTTGGCCTCAGCCATCGCTGCAATGCAGTGGTCTATCCAAACAACCATGAGACAAATGGCCATTTTGGGTCTATACAAGAGTTCGACCATTGAATTTCCACACTTCTGGTGATGCATTACATTTGGACACAGCTCAACATACACATGAATATATCATAATAGGTTTTGCTGGTGTCAAGTTGCCGAGACAAATTAAAAGATGTGTTTCCTTTTGATCAATTTGCAGCTTCGAGATAGTCCAACATCTCAAACCGATTTTAGTGCAATATGATCAATGATATGAACATATATGCATTATATATTGTATATAGGCAATTCACAATTATATAGCCTCCGAAGACCCTAGTCGATCGAGCAATGGATGACGAAACCGCTGAAGAAGAACTCTTAGATTTGCTGTGCTGTCACCGGACGGACCCTTGGCAGTCATCTTTCACGGGCAAGGGATGAAAGAACCGAAGTCATCAGATGCCAAAAGTCAAATCCGGGCTTTATTTTCCACATTTGGGTCTACATAGTTATTCAAAAACACTTATAATATACAGGTCATAACAAGGAAGGTGTGCAGGTCACCCATATACATGGTCTTTTGTACATGAGTGTGTTTGAACTATATATAGTGTGGCGTTTGTGTGTGGCTTCCAGGATTTACATAGGCCGGGGGTATTTTTTACATGACCATAATCCCATGTATGCAGAGGAGATCAGAGGCACTATGTAACAATTAAGATATGTTCTCACATCCGTTCACAAGCTTATGGTACGAAACAAATCGATTATATATAGCTTTCAACCATCTCTCCGACCCATCCATTAAGGAAGCTGAAGGCTCTTTCCCATGGGCAATGCCGCCCGGGCGACCGTGCTCTGGTGGAGATCCGGAGTGCCTGGCATCGGGCAACCGATCGTTGGGGGATGCGTCATCCCATGAAAGTGCACCTTCGGCACCAATTGCCTCAGAGATCCCCCCGTGGTTCCAAAAAATACCACCGGAACTTCAGGGCAACACCCGCCTTGTCGGCATTGCCAAGGAGGCAACCACCATGCCATGCATAGCTTTTGATCTACCACCGGCAAATGTTTCTGCTGGGCGTGTGCTTGAGCATTGCACCAATGCTCTTGAAAGGTTATTCACCAAATGGTATCCTATGATCTTCAAAATTGGCTGGACCCACAACCCAATCTGGCGTTGGGAGAATGATTTGTATGGATATTGCCATGAAAGAGACAAGTGGTCCAACATGGTCGTTTTGCACATTGCGCCTGAACCATTTTCTACGGCAATGCTAGAAGCCGCTCTTATCCAGAAATATCAAAGCATCTAGGCTGCATTTGTTTGCTGATATGCCTGTTTGATGTAGGCACTGGACATCACTGGACAGGTCCTATATATATGTGTGCGTCAGATTGACATGTATGTTGCCATTACGAAAGCGATGTAGCGAATAAAGTTGGCTGCGGCATTCGGGCAACCCACACCATGCACTGGCCCAGGTAAACCTGGATCGAGGAATGTGCGATTGGGGGGAGACACTGTGAGCACCGACCAGCCGGATGGAGCCTCCATGTGCTATGTAGTGTACAGGTCTTTCAAGTTCAAACCGAAGTGATTGCTGTGCATCACAATTTGAATATATATATATATAGACACATCATGTGCATGATCTGGGAATATTATATATAGTAGAAGCCGCAAAAAGAGTGGTCAGAATTTCAGATGTGCTTGAATTAAAAGCACATGCGATGAATCTGCGATTGAGCTTTCTGAGTTTCAGGGCAAAAGTGCAGCGCATCCATTTGCACAACCATGAACGTTGCAAGTGTCAGTGTGTGTGTGTGGCTGACTGCAGGGCAAGCCACCTTTTGAAAAGATCCTGATGCACTTCAAACGATCCAATTGACATGTCTATCCCTCTCTCTTATGTGTCTTTGCTTCTCTCCCCGGGTGCACAATTCCCACCGGAATTGCGCCCGTCACGCCGAGGCCTCGACTTGCAGAGCTGTGATTAGAGCAGCGCGTGGAGTTGTGAGTGATATCGGGGAGACAGCTGCGGAAGCCAGCAGTGGTCTCATAGAGTTGAGCCGGTGTACTTTAAGCAACAGTGAAAGGGATGTTGAGCAAGTGTCCAGGAAGTACAATCTTCAGCTCCCTGTTCCCATCAGAGAAATTCAGAAATCTCCTGGTGTCCGCTACTCCGGGAACTTTCACGTGATCGCTTTGGAAAGCTGGCTTCAATTCATCATCGATCACAACGTCTGGCATATGTTACTAGGCCTGCACAATGCAGACCCGAAACGGGAAAGGGCCTTGCTTCGCGAGTTTTGGCGCTTGTATCGGCTTGCTGAGCCTGACCATCAAGTGTGGGCTGAAATTGAGAAGCATGGTATCAAAGTTGAACATCTTTTGCCCGTCGTGATGCACGGCGACGAGGGGCGCGGCCGGAAACGCGGCCCTTTCCTGGTGACCTCATATCATTCAATGATAGGATTCGGGACTGTTTTAGCAAATGCCAACAGAAAAACAAAATCCTACCTGCAGCTTCGATTGAATTACGTGGGCTCCACCCACTCCAGCAGAATGATCACTGGGTGTCTACCCAAGATGCACAAAGACGAGCAGGCGCTTGATGACCTTTTAACTTTCATGACAGGCGATTGTCTCAGATCATTTCAGCAGGGCGTCACTGGCAAGCATGGTGAACGGTACCATGCTGCTTGTCTGAATGCAGTTGGAGATTGGGCATGGCTCCAAAAGTGCGGCCACTTGGAACGATCCTATTTGAACATTCCGAAGAAAGCATTGGTACAAACGAGCAAGCCCAAAGGGATCTGCCACCTGTGCCACGCAGGGCGTTTGGAGCACGACTTCGAGGATCTGAGCTTGAACCCTTCATGGCTTCAGACGATGTACTGCGATGAGCCGTGGACAGTGAGACCCGTGCTTCTTCACCTCGCCCACTGCCCATCACGGCCGGCAGATTTCTTCAGCTACGACTTGTGGCATGCGTTCCATCTTGGTATGGCAAAAAGTTTTGCCGCTTCGACATTGGCACGTATCACAGATCGCTTCCCAGAAAGTACAGTCGACTCACGATTTGAGCGTTTGACATCGCTGTTCCTCACCTTCGCTGATGAGCACCGTGAACCTACATACATCACAGCGCTGACGAAGGAAAGTTGCGGATGGTATGATAGGAAAACCTATCCCAACGGGCAGTGGAGCAAAGGCCACGTCAGTAGAGTCTTGTTGCGTTTTCTTCAAAGTTACTTTGCGAGGTTTGACGTATCAGATGACATCATCCTGTCCAAGGCCAAGGCCGCAACGTCTGCAATCAACACTTGCCTTCACGACATGTATTCTTCGGATTTATGGTTGGAGCCTTCCTTGAGCCATCAGATTGGTGGAAAAGGAATGGAATTTCTCCAGTTATATCAGCAACTTGCGAAAGTGTCCCATGATCAGGGGGAAGCGCTTTACCCTTATATGCCGAAGGCTCACATCGTCCACC